TTAAAAGTCTTATGACATGTAAATTACAATATGATCGTACTAAGCTCAAAATATATGGAATAACTCAAAACACAGAATTACTTATCTTTCTATATACCATATCTCATATAATCTATCTTTAAATTTAGTTTCTAGTTGAGCAAGTGCTGGCATAGTGTCCAGGTTGTTTGCAGTAGATGCATCACTTTATTCTGTGTTCTGCTAACTCAAACCCAGAAGGATCTCTTCTGGTTGAATTATTTTTTTGACGATTAGAGGCACCAGAAAGTCTTTCCCTAGTACGAACATTTTGAGAATTCTGCAAGACTGTTAATGGGATATTAATCAAATTGTTCAATTTCTCTCAGCAGCTAATTGTTGGTATTCTGGCCATTCTTTATACTTTTCTTGTAAAGCTTGCAAAAAGGGTTATAGTTCTTGGGTGTTGGCTTCAATAGGTGGTATTGATAGGCGATCTTGGATCTACCAATGTTTATAAAAATCGTCAAGTGTTAAACCTCGATTATTTTCAATAAGTTGAATCTTATAAGCACAAGGTAGTCCCATTGTGCTCGAGAAAGATCCAGTGCATAGTGGTAAAGAATCTTGTGCGGTAGCATATTTTACCTTTTGGTATTGCTCATTCACCTTTTTAAGGTCAAAATTTCCAATTTTGCCCTTAATATTAGCATAGAAAGAATTATTTTGTGTGAAAATTGGGAAGTGGATTTTTTCTGATGAAATCTTAGTCTCTAATTCTTTTTTTTTGATTTTTTATTGCTAAGTAAAGCTTTATATGAATATTATAAAGATCTCCTGCCAATATACATAAATATGTCTTTATTGTAGCATGAGCACCTTCAATACGAAAAGTGATAGTTGTTCCTAAATGAAGAAACTTATTGGTCCAAGCCTTGATGAATTTCTCTTTTCAAGGAATTCAAGTTTCTTCAAGATATTTAATAATAAGCGGTTTGTTTGAATAAGTATTAAGAAAATTTTGCCATTTCATATCAAATTCTACCTCTGTTTGTGACTGAATGATATTATTCTACTCTAAGAGAAAAGTTTGCTACTCATTATCTTCTTCGAATTGAGACTTACAATTTTTCATTACATTTTTATTAATATGCTATAGATATAATAGATTAGCTGAATTCAGAAAAACTGTTTTGAGAGCATTTATAAGAGCCAATTCTCTATCCATTACTATAATACAAGGATCTAATATTCTATTAAACAATTTAGCAACACAAGTTAACGCTCAATGATAATCCTCCTCATCTTCATCTTTTATAAAGATGAAGCATGAAAAAAAGTAGTGTTGACACTAGTTATACCAACAATATTTAATAATAGCATTTTATATTTGTTCATTTTGTAAGTGCAATCCATAAGAAAAACAAATGAATATCGACAGGTAAGCATAACAGACTCATTGTGAGTAAAGAAAAGGTAAGTAATATAACCTGTATTATTATATTTGTATTCATATGTATAATCACCCTCTTTAAGCTTATCTATTAATACTTCAACTGGAGTGTGACTCGTTAAATTTTTTTGGCAGAGTTGCTCACATGCATTATAAATGTCTTTACTAATTACTAATGCTGATAGGTTATTTTAACGGATGGTTGATATTATTTCCCAGAGATGTGAGCCAGAGGCAGTCATTTCTTTAACATTTATTAATTGCTGCTTTGTGAGTTGACGAGACATTGGATGCCCTGATAAATCTTCTGAAGGATCATAATTATGGATATTATTATGAACTTCTATATACCATAAGTTATCATGTTGAGCAGCATATAATTCAAAAGAACAATCAATCAACCAGATACTTGTTTGTCTTTGAAGTATTTCAGAGCTGTTGTAAACTCTACCCTGGTTACAACGCAATGTTATATTTTTCAAATTGCCATGACAATCTTTACATGTTCTCTTTTTTACTGGTATATAACTTTGAGAAATAGCAAATGTTTGAGTACTCCAAAAAAGTTCAGTAGCACTTTTATATGCCACAGAAGGTGGTGGGAGCATATTTGAATTAAAAATTTTACAAAAAAATGGTTTATTAGTTTCGCACTAAAAGCACTTACTAATTTTATATATATATATATTTTTTTTTTTTAGTTTACAAATACTACTATTACTTCACTTTATGTATCACATAATAATGCTTCATGGTTTTACATTATTAATCGATGCTTTACTGACTAATGTATTGCACGAACATGTCATCATAATAACGATCAATCAACAATCATGAGATAAAAGACAAATTTTGGCTCTTGAATAATCAAATTACAAATATAAGACAACATGTATCACAGCAAAATTCAAATAGTATAAACCTCTTTATATTAGTTTATTTTGTAGTGATTAAAAGGGCATATTGAAAGGTATCAAGTTCATATTATCAATAGATAGGCAATAACACTATTTCTTTAAGACAGTCTCAGAGAATTAAACAAAAAACTTCAATTAGATAATTGATATACATAATTAGTTTGAGTATACACTCAATCATTTTAAAGTCGATTGAAATAATTAAACATCATTGTCTACCCAACATAGCTTTTAAGAATCTAAAAGAACCATTTTCATTTAATTTATGTAAATAATCTGTCAGAATGTAATCTAATTCAAGTATTTATTTAATAAAGTAGCTGCATGACATAGTTATGCGAAAACCAGAAACATAGACAAGGACTTTTGTGATTATATATTAGTTGCTTTAGTATGTTATAAACTTTTGATTATATATAGCAATGCGATTAATTAGAAAAAAAACAAAAAAATACTAAATCTAGTGGAGGCCAGGTAGCCCACTCTAGTAGAGCATTGGGTTAAGGATAAATTAGTCCTAGCTGTAGGTCCCTGTAATAATTCATGTAATCCATTTAATAATGTAACGAATAATTATTCAATAAAGACCGAGGCCAGGCCTCACTCTTAAAAAAAAAAAAAAAAAAAAAACTAAGGAATTTTTTTATGCATAGTCTTTTTTATAAATTTCGTACAAACTAAACACACCAAACACGTTGGGTAAGTATTCAAACAAAAATTTAATATTGAATGTGTCGATATTATACCAGGAATATAATGAAACGATGTTGGTTTTAAAGTCATAATGATCTACGTACAATTTTTAGAGATTACCTGCAAACTCAAAAGCTTATTATGCTGAATCAAAAACTTAATGAGCTAGTATATAATTATTCGGTCAATTTTTTATCGGCTGTCTCAATTAGAATGAAAACTGCTATAATTGGTTACAATTATTATTATTCCATGAGTCTTATGTAACAACTTGTGCTTTTTTTATTTGGTTATTACACGGGATTATACGTTATACACCGTGAAATAATATAGTTATTGTATAGGTATATGAATAACCTGTGGCCTTCGGCCATGGTTATTCACTATTGGCACTCTCCAGATTTAGTATCTACAAATTAAATTAAGGATTTTATTTTTTGGTGCACCTGCACCACAGTGCACCCCCTATATCACATGATTGATGTGATCAATGCGATTACACGATTTACATAAAAATTTATTATATGATTTATAATAAAATTATTACATGATTTATTACATATGCAAGGCATAATACAATGATTATGTCATATTACAGGACAAACTATTTCAAATAAATTACCTGATCGCGACCACTAATAAAACTATTTAATCTACCCTAACCAAAACCAAAGCACCCTAACCCTAACCATAATAAACACGATGAAATTCAAATCACCCTAACCCCAACTTACAGTAAAGTGATAAATCCAAGACTCATCAAGCCATAACAATACCGATTACGGTGACAACCAATAATAACGACAAAATCAAAGTTTTTTCCACACTTCAATAATGGCGGTGCCAACTATGAAAGTAATTCACTAATTCACCATCTAATAACAATGATAATGATACTAAAATGTTTTCATCACTTCAAAATTGAAGACACCAACAACAAGGGCATTATGTAATAGTAATAAAAAATCGTTAGTAAAAGCAAAAAAAACAATCAAAATCAAAAGAAAAAAATATACGAACCCAGCATATCCAAAAAATGGCGAAGAAATAGTAACTATAAAGCAATTCTCAAGATCAATCTACCCTGAAAAATAAAAGCATTAGTAATACATTCACAAGACAAAAGCAACAACGAAAAAAATAAAACCATAAATCACCGATTCGCAAGTCATGCACTTCACAATCCCAAGAAAGCTCAAAAACGCCCTAAAGAACCTAGAAATAAAAAAAAGTGTTAGTAACGCGTTTAGAAGCAAGAATAAACAAGAACAAAGGATATAAAAAGTCATACTCTCCAAGATTTCCAAAGCAAGCCTAAAAAAAAAATAAACAAGTGTTAGTAATGCATTCACAAATCGAAAAGCAAGAATCAAAAAAGCAAGACAAAGAACAAATAAAAACATAAGCCCCTAATACCAAGACAAGCGCTTACAATTTAGACTTACTTGATAATGGCACAAATTCCCATCAATAACAGCCGACAACACACAATTCACCAAGGCACCAATGCGAAATGAAACTATGACACCAATTCCAAACGATGGCTCTGAAAATGACGACGACACCAACTCCAAGTGAAGCCAAGACACCAACGCGAAATGAACTACAACACCAATTCCAAATGACGGCTCTAGAAATGACAATGATACCAACTCCAAGTGAAGCCAAAGCACCAACGCGTAATGCAACTACGATACCAATTCCAAACGATGGCTCTAAAAACGACAACGACACCAACTCCATCACCTATTGATATCAAAGTATTCACTCTATAGTGCCATATTGCCCTATTAATTCCTTAACAATTATAAAAGACCCATTTCGCTCACCCAAAGTTATTCTTATTTTCCGTTCACAGTTGGAGTTAGATTGGATATCATCTATATTATTTTATTAGCTCTCCCATTCAACAGTTACAGTATGTATTATAGATGCTTGACGAAATTATTTTTGAATTGACGAATAGTTTCGTCATTTTGCGATTGTGCTAAAAATTTCATATAAACACCAAGAAAATTTTCTATAAACTTAGACAGTCTACTCCTTAGAATAATATTCTAATTCAAAATTAATTTCGTCACTAATAATTATAGATCAAAATAATTTCGTCAAGAGTTTCGTCATTTCGTCAGGTTTAATTTCGTCTACTAATAAAATCAATTTCGTCAAGCATCACTAGTATGTATACAATTACGAAAAAAATTATAGATTCACAACTATGGCCAAAATTACAGACCATTTTACCAGATTTAAAATTGGCTTGTTCAAGATCTGGCTAAATGATCTGCAAATTTGACCGGAATTATGAACAATAGGTTCCTCTATTTATCAGATGATGCAGACCCGCCAATATGATTTCATACTGAATTATAAAACGGTTATTATTTTTAGCACCCAGAAAATTAAAATCTGACATCGGCAACCGGTCGGCTAAACCCCTCAGCTAAAATAGAAAAAATTGAAAACAAAATATCTTCTAAAATAGGAAAAAATATAACTAGCTGAAAAGTTGAATGAAACCATCCCTTCCATATTACATGTGATTTTACTGGTATTATAACAATATTGCAACATTATTGGCCATTCTCTAATTGCAAAGCCCTAAATGCACGCCTTAGAGCTGGTCCCGGCAGCCTGCATTTAGGGAGGTCTGACTGTATTCATGTAATTGGAATAATTTTTTGTTAATTTATTTACGTTTATGCAAAAATTGTAAAATGAAAATGTTATTTAAATTATATAAAACTTTCAAGATACATGTAATTTATTATCCTGAAAAGTTTAAGGTATAAATTGATTGAAATTACCAAAATGATCTTAATGACTATGTAATTTACCATCATTACTGTTCCGAGGCTTAAAGTTTCTACTCCATCACTACTAATTACTCAAATGACTTCAAATGACCCAGTAAATGACCGGCATTTCAGGGTCATTTGAGGTCATATAAAAAATTTTCAAATGACCAGGCCATTTACAGTCACTGTTTTATAGTAATATATGCTAGTCGATATTTGATTAAAATTTTGTGATAGAATGATCGAAAATACAAATCAAGTTTCTTCAGGATGTTAGCTTGTCCGATATTAGTGTTGGGATCCGTTTAACTAAACATCCGGATAACCGGATATTTAATTTAAGGGAATTTTAATTTGGTGCACCATGCACCGTGATGCACCCCTGATCACGGGGTATAAATAGTGATCAACTGATTAAATTTTTTTTTGATTTTTTTGTTTCAACGCGTTATACTAGTTATTCATTTTTTTTCTTTGTGACAGTTTTCAGGTTGTCGACGTTGGTGTCGTGGTACTAGATCCTTCACTTGGAGTTGGTGTCATCGTCGTTTGGAATTGGTGTCGTTCCTTCACTTGGAGTTGGTGT